CTTGAGGTTATCTTGAGATGATTTCGGGGCTTTAGTGTCCCCGCGGCCCGGTCCTCGACCAGGCCTCCACCCCCCAGGAAGCAGCCCGTGACAGCTGACTAACTCCCAGGTACCTATTTACTGCTAGGTAACAGGGGCATTCAGGGTGAATGAAACTTTGCCCATTTGTTTCTGCCTCGTGCGGGAATCGAACCCGCGCCACAGAATTACGAGTCCTGCGCGCTATCCACCAGGCTACGAGGCCCCTGTAAACGGACACACGTGTTGTGTGTGTGTGCTCCTTGGTGGTCTATATAATTATTCATATGAGTTCTTACTACATGTAAGAAGGTCTTTGTGTGGATCAGTATAAAAGTGTTTCCCGATATTCCATATTTGTTAGTGTGGCTGGTGACTTATGTTGGCAACTGAGCCGTGTGGGTACATAGTAATTTGACTGTTTGTTGGACATAGCCTCTGACGAGGAGTTTGTGGACTTTGATCAATTTTCCTGGTTTGTGGACATAGTCGAATTTCCTCGTTTATGGACTTAGTCAAGTTCCTGGTCTGGGGGACTTTCGAGAGGAAGTTCTCACCCTGCTACTTTACCAGACATTGTAACTGTTACGTTTGAAAGACATGTAATTGACTTTGCTTTTTGTTAAGTTGTTGTGGACTTGAACTTTTGTTGAAAAAATGACTTTGTCACTTTTCCAGTCGTTATGAACGTTATGAAGGGGACTTAGTTTTTCTGAAGGCAGGAGAGAGGACTTTGACTGGTGATACCAGTGGTAATTGACCCCACTTTGACTGGTGGGGTCAAGTCCATACTGAGACTTGACCTCACTCTGGTATAATAAGTCCCTACCCACCAACGTTCATGACTTTATAGTCAGTCTTAATCCTAGTGTATCACTGTTGTTAGGTGATTAAGGCTTAGTTACAGCTAGCTACTTGACTTGTGCTTTGTTTAATTCAGTTCCCATCTGTGGATATGTGGCGTATGTAGAGCGGAAGCGTGTGTATATAAGTTCGCCCCAGTAAGATGGCGGATTTTACATGGACTTTCACTTTACCCTAAACTTACCTTTTTTGAGGCCTGGCGGCTTTTTGATGATTTATGGAAGGGTTTTATGCTCCCAGCGACGCTCTGGGAGGTCGTAACATGACACACTGCCCTGAGGGGATATTAAATTTAGACTATTGTTTAGAAAAGTATATTCTATTTTTTTTCTTTCGAAGCCGCAGTGTTGGGGATAAATTATACAAGTATTATCCTATATAATTTTGTGATCAGTCTCACTTACATGTTTATATAAAGCTGATATAAAGCTGTTTATATGTAAGTGAGACACAGGCACCCAATGTCTCTCAGGAAAGGGGGGGAAAATTGTACTAATAATTTGGTTTTCTGTACTTACAGGATTTGGGTGATTTCCCATGAGTGGCAGCTGCAGTTGATTGTGCATTAAGTGCATACCCAGACTCCCCACCTTCCCACTGTAATCCCATCTGCACAATCAGTATTACTGGCACAGTTGTGAGACATTAGGAAATGGAGTCTTTTTTTTTCTTCTGTGGTAAGGCTCACTTTATTGATGTCAATAACTTTACTGTACCTCGAGTGGCTTTGTTCTTTGGCATTCCGGGCCATGGTGATCACACCTGGCAGCCTCTACATCACTACACGTACACCTATTCCACGTGGATTGGGGCGGCAAGGCAAAGAGCTGCTGCAATCCAGAGGAACTGTGGCGTGATGTAAGCGTGTCAGTTGGTGACATGGAAGTAGATAAAAGGAAGCCATCTGCTGTGAGGTGAGTGACCTCACCTGGTAGTGTACCTCAGCGTGAGGTAGAGTGACCTCACCTGGTAGTGTACCTCAGCGTGAGGTAGAGTGACCTCACCTGGTAGTGTACCTCAGTGTGAGGTAGAGTGACCTCACCTGGTAGTGTACCTCAGTGTGAGGTAGAGTGACCTCACCTGGTAGTGTACCTCAGCGTGAGGTAGAGTGACCTCACCTGGTAGTGTACCTCAGTGTGAGGTAGAGTGACCTCACCTGGTAGTGTACCTCAGTGTGAGGTAGAGTGACCTCACCTGGTAGTGTACCTCAGTGTGAGGTAGAGTGACCTCACTTGGTAGTGTACCTCAGCGTGAGGTAGAGTGACCTCACTTGGTAGTGTACCTCAGCGTGAGGCAGAGTGACCTCACTTGGTAGTGTTGCAGTAATGTGACACACCGTAGTTACTCCGTGTACATTGGGACTGTATGAGACAATACAGTTACTGTGTACATTGGGACTGTGTACATTGGGACTGAATGAGACAATACAGTTACTGTGTACACTGGAACTGTCCCGTTTGGATTACCTGTGGGCCTTCAGTAGGGGCTGGTTGTGGGGCTTAAGCAGTGAAAGACACTATTAGTGGTGTAGTGTATAAAACAGGGCTCGTTTACCCCTTAGTTACCTACGTAATCCGGTTTAATAATCTTCACCAGATTTCCAGGTGCTGAAGAGAATAATAGATCCACCTACACAGCAATCTGGGAGGCAATGCTGAGGCATTGCCCCTCAGAGTTTAAATAACACAATAAAGTAGCCGTCACAACTGCAAGAAAAATGACAGGTTGGATAACAAGAACTTTTCACACTAGAGATACTATACCGATGATGATACTTTTCAATACGCTTGTGCTATCTAGAGTGGAGTACTGCTGCACAATGACAGCCCCTTTCAAAGCTGGAGAAATTGCTAACCTGGAGAGCGTGCAGAGATCCTTTACTGCTAGAATCCACTCAGTAAAACATCTAAACTATTGGGACCGACTAAAGAGCCTAAATCTGTACTCCCTTGAGCGCAGGCGGGAGAGATACATAATAATCAATACATGGAAAATATTAGAGGGGCTGGTCCCAAACCTGCACACAGAAATAACATCACATGAGACCAGAAGACATGGCAGGATGTGCAGAATACCCCCGTTGAAAACCAGAGGTGCAACAGGTACTCTGAGAGAGAACTCTATCAACATCAGAGGCCCGAGACTGTTCAACACGCTTCCACTACACATAAGGGACATAACTGGCCGACCCCTCACAGTGTTCAAGAGAGAACTATCAACATCAGAGGCCCGAGACTGTTGAACACGCTTCCACTACACATAAGGGACATAACTGGCCGATCCCTCACAGTGTTCAAGAGAGAACTATCAACATCAGAGGCCCGAGACTGTTCAACACGCTTCCACTACACATAAGGGACATAACTGGCCGACCCCTCACAGTGTTCAAGAGAGAACTTGACAAACACCTCCAAAGGATACCTGATCAACCAGGCTGTGATTCATACGTCAGGCTGCGAGCAGGCGCGTCCAACAGCCTGGTTGATCAGTCCAGCAACCAGGAGGCGTGGTCGAAGACCGGGCCGCGAGGACGCTAAGCCCCGGAAGCACCTCAAGGTAACCCCCCATGTCTGATGTGTAACAACATCACCTTGTTTCCACTGTGGGACATTGAGAAAGAAAGTTTTTTTTTCCTTTTTAAGGTTAAGGAATTAAGAAAAAAGTAAGAAAATTAAAAAAAAGGTTAAGGAATTTTTCTAACATGGATTTCAGTATTGGGTTGTATTCACATGGCTTAAGGCTCTCTTGAGATGGCGAACATCTCCCCCCTGGCGAACAGGGGGGCCTCGTAGCCTGGTGGATAGCGCGCAGGACTCGTAATTCTGTGGCGCGGGTTCGATTCCCGCACGAGGCAGAAACAAATGGGCAAAGTTTCTTTCACCCTGAATGCCCCTGTTACCTAGCAGTAAATAGGTACCTGGGAGTTAGTCAGCTGTCACGGGCTGCTTCCTGGGGGTGGAGGCCTGGTCGAGGACCGGGCCGCGGGGACACTAAAAGCCCCGAAATCATCTCAAGATAACCTCAAGATAACTCAAGAATCTCAAAACGTAGGTTAACCTGTGAAGGATCAAGCATCGGGCGGTGAGGTAAAGTACATCGTGAGCATAAGTGCCTTCAATATTTTGAGCTTCAGGTCAGTAGTGACCATCTTACCAAGAAACCTGTTGATGGCCTTTGACCCAAGAGAAACTCCTTGGAGCGTGCTGTCTTCAGGTTTAATTATGGGGATATCAGGCGGAACATCTTTTACTTGAACTTACAATGTTTCGGTTGGAGAGAATTTCACACAGAGGCGTCTTGAGAACCAGCTAGGGTACCATCACCCAAGAACGATATCTTCTCAATAAACTGGTTATCGGTGGCTTCATTAATGACTTAACACAGAAGGAGAGGAACAAGGGGTAAATCACCTTGTTAGGGGGTAAATTACCCTGAATCAATTTTATGTTCACCAAATAGCAGCTCTACTTCTTTACTGAAGCACAAATGTACAATGTTTAGAGCAAAAGAACATTACAATGATCAACATGGAGGAATGTGTCCCAACTTACCAGGTTGAAACATGTATGATATCCAACCTGATCGAGGCCTCACACCCTTGGAGAATGCCAAACCTGAACTGCTTTGGTGTCTGGCTAAATGATCTTGCAGCAGCAAGAGTGACAAGGTGCCAGAGGGAATTGTCCCACATCTCTAACCCTGTCTATGGAGGACAGAAGAAAATGTATATATGCTGGTTAGCATTGCAAATGTCTGGCCACGTCTGTGGTAGAAAAAAGAGCAATTCGATTGATTTTTGCCATGTGTGCTCTCAGAGAGAACTCTCTATCTCTCTGAGAGCACAGCGGGACGAAGAGTCTTATGGCCTCTAGTATGTTGCCAACTAAGCATTTGTTGATTAATCTTGTTAGTTCTAACAGGAGGTCTTGTGCAACGTCACTCAGAGCAGGGGTTGTGCAGCGTCACTCAGAGCAGGGGTTGTGCAGCGTCACTCAGAGCAGGGGTTGAGCACTTGTTGAATGTGGTCAAGTCTGCTCGTCTTGATGAATAGGTCAAAGCTGTTTTATGGAGCACTAATTCATCAACAAAAATAGGATGTATTCTTGTGCCTTCGTTAGTGTAATCTACACAATACAGCACTAGATGCTCACAATACAGCACTAGATGCTCACAATACAGCACTAGATGCTCACAATATAGCACTAGATGCACACAATACAGCACTAGATGCACACAATACAACACTAGATGCACACAATACAGCACTAGATGCCCACAATACAGCACTAGATGCTCACAATACAGCACTAGATGCTCACAATACAGCACTAGATGCCCACAATACAACACTAGATGCACACAATACAACACTAGATGCACACAATACAGCACTAGATGCCCACAATACAGCACTAGATGCACACAATACAACACTAGATGCACACAATACAGCACTAGATGCAGACAATACAACACTAGATGCTCACAATACAACACTAGATGCTCACAATACAACACTAGATGCACACAATACAACACTAGATGCTCACAATACAACACTAGATGCTCACAATACAACACTAGATGCTCACAATACAACACTAGATGCTCACAATACAACACTAGATGCACACAATACAACACTAGATGCTCACAATACAGCACTAGATGCTCACAATACAGCACTAGATGCTCACAATACAACACTAGATGCCCACAATACAACACTAGATGCTCACAATACAGCACTAGATGCAGACAATACAGCACTAGATGCACACAATACAACACTAGATGCTCACAATACAGCACTAGATGCACACAATACAACACTAGATGCTCACAATACAACACTAGATGCTCACAATACAGCACTAGATGCTCACAATACAGCACTAGATGCACACAATACAACACTAGATGCAGACAATACAACACTAGATGCAGACAATACAGCACTAGATGCACACAATACAACACTAGATGCAGACAATACAACACTAGATGCAGACAATACAACACTAGATGCACACAATACAACACTAGATGCACACAATACAGCACTAGATGCACACAATACAACACTAGATGCTCACAATACAGCACTAGATGCACACAATACAACACTAGATGCAGACAATACAGCACTAGATGCAGACAATACAACACTAGATGCACACAATACAACACTAGATGCTCACAATACAACACTAGATGCACACAATACAACACTAGATGCAGACAATACAACACTAGATGCAGACAATACAGCACTAGATGCAGACAATACAACACTAGATGCACACAATACAACACTAGATGCAGACAATACAACACTAGATGCACACAATACAACACTAGATGCAGACAATACAACACTAGATGCAGACAATACAACACTAGATGCAGACAATACAACACTAGATGCACACAATACAACACTAGATGCTCACAATACAACACTAGATGCACACAATACAACACTAGATGCACACAATACAACACTAGATGCACACAATACAGCACTAGATGCTCACAATACAACACTAGATGCACACAATACAACACTAGATGCTCACAATACAACACTAGATGCTCACAATACAGCACTAGATGCTCACAATACAACACTAGATGCTCACAATACAGCACTAGATGCTCACAATACAGCACTAGATGCACTTACCATTTCTGACCTAATTTACTTATAATCATAATTTATTTTAAGACTTTCTTGCCTAAACATATCTTATATTATTTGTTTATTTTCATTGTTTATTTAATCCCACTTGTTTATGCTTGTGGGTTTGTTTGTTTCTACATTGTTTGTGTTAGTTCAGTGATAGCTGTTGCTTCTGGGCTAACAATACACTAAATATTATTTATTTAGCTAGTCGAGTCTTTTTAAAAGTTCTCCCACTTGCAAGATAAAGAACAAACGGCTAGATTACAGTGTGCTACAACATTTTTTAATTTTGCCCCCAAGGGTGAGGTTATTGGGCAGCGTCACTCATCCTGTGAGTGGACATGCAGTCATAGTGACAGTATTGGGCAGCGGCACTCATCCTGTGAGTGGACACACCGCCATAGTGACAGTATTGGGCAGCGTCACTCATCCTGTGAGTGGACACACCGCCATAGTGACAGTATTGGGCAGCGGCACTCATCCTGTGAGTGGACACACCGCCATAGTGACAGTATTGGGCAGCGTCACTCATCCTGTGAGTGGACACACCGCCATAGTGACAGTATTGGGCAGCGTCACTCATCCTGTGAGTGGACACACCGCCATAGTGACAGTATTGGGCAGCGTCACTCATCCTGTGAGTGGACACACCGCCATAGTGACAGTATTGGGCAGCGTCACTCATCCTGTGAGTGGACACACCGCCATAGTGACAGTATTGGGCAGCGCCACTCATCCTGTGAGTGGACACACCGCCATAGTGACAGTATTGGGCAGCGTCACTCATCCTGTGAGTGGACACACCGCCATAGTGACAGTATTGGGCAGCGCCACTCATCCTGTGAGTGAACACACCACCATAGTGACAGTATTGGGCAGCGCCACTCATCCTGTGAGTGGACACACCGCCATAGTGACAGTATTGGGCAGCGCCACTCATCCTGTGAGTGGACACACCGCCATAGTGACAGTATTGGGCAGCGCCACTCATCCTGTGAGTGGACACACCGCCATAGTGACAGTATTGGGCAGCGTCACTCATCCTGTGAGTGGACACACCGCCATAGTGACAGTATTGGGCAGCGTCACTCATCCTGTGAGTGGACACACAGACATAGTGACAGTATTGGGCAGCGCCACTCATCCTGTGAGTGAACACACCGCCATAGTGACAGAATTGGGCAGCGCCACTCATCCTGTGAGTGGACACACCGCCATAGTGACAGTATTGGGCAGCGTCACTCATCCTGTGAGTGCATGGACACACCGCCATAGTGACAGTATTGGGCAGCGCCACTCATCCTGTGAGTGGACACACCGCCATAGTGACAGTATTGGGCAGCGTCACTCATCCTGTGAGTGGACACACCGCCATAGTGACAGTATTGGGCAGCGCCACTCATCCTGTGAGTGGACACACCGCCATAGTGACAGTATTGGGCAGCGCCACTCATCCTGTGAGTGGACACACCGCCATAGTGACAGTATTGGGCAGCGTCACTCATCCTGTGAGTGGACACACCGCCATAGTGACAGTATTGGGCAGCGCCACTCATCCTGTGAGTGGACACACCGCCATAGTGACAGTATTGGGCAGCGCCACTCATCCTGTGAGTGGACACACCGCCATAGTGACAGTATTGGGCAGCGTCACTCATCCTGTGAGTGGACACACCGCCATAGTGACAGTATTGGGCAGCGCCACTCATCCTGTGAGTGGACACACCGCCATAGTGACAGTATTGGGCAGCGTCACTCATCCTGTGAGTGGACACACCGCCATAGTGACAGTATTGGGCAGCGCCACTCATCCTGTGAGTGGACACACCGCCATAGTGACAGTATTGGGCAGCGCCACTCATCCTGTGAGTGGACACACCGCCATAGTGACAGTATTGGGCAGCGCCACTCATCCTGTGAGTGGACACACCGCCATAGTGACAGTATTGGGCAGCGCCACTCATCCTGTGAGTGGACACACCGCCATAGTGACAGTATTGGGCAGCGCCACTCATCCTGTGAGTGGACACACCGCCATAGTGACAGTATTGGGCAGCGCCACTCATCCTGTGAGTGGACACACCGCCATAGTGACAGTATTGGGCAGCGCCACTCATCCTGTGAGTGGACACACCGCCATAGTGACAGTATTGGGCAGCGCCACTCATCCTGTGAGTGGACACACCGCCATAGTGACAGTATTGGGCAGCGTCACTCATCCTGTGAGTGGACACACCGCCATAGTGACAGTATTGGGCAGCGCCACTCATCCTGTGAGTGGACACACCGCCATAGTGACAGTATTGGGCAGCGCCACTCATCCTGTGAGTGGACACACCGCCATAGTGACAGTATTGGGCAGCGCCACTCATCCTGTGAGTGGACACACCGCCATAGTGACAGTATTGGGCAGCGCCACTCATCCTGTGAGTGGACACACCGCCATAGTGACAGTATTGGGCAGCGTCACTCATCCTGTGAGTGGACACACCGCCATAGTGACAGTATTGGGCAGCGCCACTCATCCTGTGAGTGGACACACCGCCATAGTGACAGTATTGGGCAGCGCCACTCATCCTGTGAGTGGACACACCGCCATAGTGACAGTATTGGGCAGCGCCACTCATCCTGTGAGTGGACACACCGCCATAGTGACAGTACACACCGCCATAGTGACAGTATTGGGCAGCGTCACTCATCCTGTGAGTGGACACACCGCCATAGTGACAGTATTGGGCAGCGCCACTCATCCTGTGAGTGGACACACCGCCATAGTGACAGTATTGGGCAGCGTCACTCATCCTGTGAGTGGACACACCGCCATAGTGACAGTATTGGGCAGCGCCACTCATCCTGTGAGTGGACACACCGCCATAGTGACAGTATTGGGCAGCGCCACTCATCCTGTGAGTGGACACACCGCCATAGTGACAGTATTGGGCAGCGCCACTCATCCTGTGAGTGGACACACCGCCATAGTGACAGTATTGGGCAGCGCCACTCATCCTGTGAGTGGACACACCGCCATAGTGACAGTATTGGGCAGCGCCACTCATCCTGTGAGTGGACACACCGCCATAGTGACAGTATTGGGCAGCGCCACTCATCCTGTGAGTGGACACACCGCCATAGTGACAGTATTGGGCAGCGCCACTCATCCTGTGAGTGGACACACCGCCATAGTGACAGTATTGGGCAGCGTCACTCATCCTGTGAGTGGACACACCGCCATAGTGACAGTATTGGGCAGCGCCACTCATCCTGTGAGTGGACACACCGCCATAGTGACAGTATTGGGCAGCGCCACTCATCCTGTGAGTGGACACACCGCCATAGTGACAGTATTGGGCAGCGTCACTCATCCTGTGAGTGGACACACCGCCATAGTGACAGTATTGGGCAGCGCCACTCATCCTGTGAGTGGACACACCGCCATAGTGACAGTATTGGGCAGCGCCACTCATCCTGTGAGTGGACACACCGCCATAGTGACAGTATTGGGCAGCGCCACTCATCCTGTGAGTGGACACACCGCCATAGTGACAGTATTGGGCAGCGCCACTCATCCTGTGAGTGGACACACCGCCATAGTGACAGTATTGGGCAGCGCCACTCATCCTGTGAGTGGACACACCGCCATAGTGACAGTATTGGGCAGCGCCACTCATCCTGTGAGTGGACACACCGCCATAGTGACAGTATTGGGCAGCGCCACTCATCCTGTGAGTGGACACACCGCCATAGTGACAGTATTGGGCAGCGTCACTCATCCTGTGAGTGGACACACCGCCATAGTGACAGTATTGGGCAGCGCCACTCATCCTGTGAGTGGACACACCGCCATAGTGACAGTATTGGGCAGCGCCACTCATCCTGTGAGTGGACACACCGCCATAGTGACAGTATTGGGCAGCGCCACTCATCCTGTGAGTGGACACACCGCCATAGTGACAGTATTGGGCAGCGCCACTCATCCTGTGAGTGGACACACCGCCATAGTGACAGTATTGGGCAGCGCCACTCATCCTGTGAGTGAACACACCGCCATAGTGACAGTATTGGGCAGCGCCACTCATCCTGTGAGTGGACACACCGCCATAGTGACAGTATTGGGCAGCGCCACTCATCCTGTGAGTGGACACACCGCCATAGTGACAGTATTGGGCAGCGTCACTCATCCTGTGAGTGGACACACCGCCATAGTGACAGTATTGGGCAGCGCCACTCATCCTGTGAGTGGACACACCGCCATAGTGACAGTATTGGGCAGCGCCACTCATCCTGTGAGTGGACACACCGCCATAGTGACAGTATTGGGCAGCGCCACTCATCCTGTGAGTGGACACACCGCCATAGTGACAGTATTGGGCAGCGCCACTCATCCTGTGAGTGGACACACCGCCATAGTGACAGTATTGGGCAGCGCCACTCATCCTGTGAGTGGACACACCGCCATAGTGACAGTATTGGGCAGCGCCACTCATCCTGTGAGTGGACACACCGCCATAGTGACAGTATTGGGCAGCGCCACTCATCCTGTGAGTGGACACACCGCCATAGTGACAGTATTGGGCAGCGCCACTCATCCTGTGAGTGGACACACCGCCATAGTGACAGTATTGGGCAGCGCCACTCATCCTGTGAGTGGACACACCGCCATAGTGACAGTATTGGGCAGCGCCACTCATCCTGTGAGTGGACACACCGCCATAGTGACAGTATTGGGCAGCGCCACTCATCCTGTGAGTGGACACACCGCCATAGTGACAGTATTGGGCAGCGCCACTCATCCTGTGAGTGGACACACCGCCATAGTGACAGTATTGGGCAGCGCCACTCATCCTGTGAGTGGACACACCGCCATAGTGACAGTATTGGGCAGCGCCACTCATCCTGTGAGTGGACACACCGCCATAGTGACAGTATTGGGCAGCGCCACTCATCCTGTGAGTGGACACACCGCCATAGTGACAGTATTGGGCAGCGCCACTCATCCTGTGAGTGGACACACCGCCATAGTGACAG